CCCCTCGCCCCTTCCCCCCCCCCCCCCCCCGCCTGCAGGGTGTCAGTCACCCCGTGTCCCTAAGCACAGGCTCCACTTCCCCCCGCAAGGACCCCGGCAAAGGGGGCAGAGCAGAGGGGCCCACGGCCCCATCTCCACGTGGGGACGGGTTTGGGCCCCTGTCAGGGGCAAATTGGAGCTTCCATGAGCTGCTGTGCTGCTGGCTCTAACTCCAGAGCTGGGCACGCAGAGACTTCTAGAATGCTTTTTGCCCTGGGCTCCTGCGAGGCCAGTCTGACTCCCGTTCTCCCTCTCTCTCCCTTTGCTGCGGCTCCTGGGACCAGCAGACCCCGGCAGTGAGACCCGTTGAGCGTTAATGTCTCGTGTGTGTTCACGCTGTCCCGTGTGCCGTCCCGTCCGTCCACGGTCAGGCGCCATCTGAGCGTGTCCACCTGCTCATCCGTGTGTCCGGCCTCCGTGTGTCCCTGCCCCGTCGTGCTGTGTGTCCCTCTCCACACCGCCCTTCCGGCCTGTGAGTCTCTGCCCCGGGCTGGCTCCTCGAGGGTAAATTTCCGTTCTCATTTCCCGCAGGAAGACAACTTGAATGGGATCCACATCGTGGCCTTTGCGGAGAAGAGCGACCCCGGTAGGCACCCGGCCGCCTGGCCTTTCACAAGAGCTCCCAAACCCTGGGCAGGGCTCACGTCTGTTGTGCTGGCTACTCACGAGGCTGAGATCTGAAGATCCTGGTTCAATGCCAGCCTAGGCAGCAAAGCCTATGAGATGCTTATGTCCAATTAACCAGCGAAAAGCTGGAGGTGGAGCTGTGGCTCAAGTGGTAGAGTTCCATCCTTGAGTAAAACCCCTGAGTTCAAGCCCTACTACACACACACACACACACACACACACACACACACACACACAAACTACTCACCTTCCTTTGCTCTCCCCTTTCCCTCTCCCTTCCTTCTACAGTGCAACCAGAGATACTGGCATCCCACCACCCCTGCCCCTGTGGTGTCTGTGCTCACAGCTAAGGGAAGACAGGGTGAGGAGGTGCTGGAGCCTCAAACACTGAGCTGAGCAGGCACAAAAGCAACCCAGCCCCTGGGGTGTGTGGATATGATCTGCCGGTTGTGCAAACGTTCACTTATGAGCTTTGTGATCAAGCACGTGGATGTATATGCCAAACTCCTACTTTAGGATAACGCGAATTGAGGAACAGGAGCTGTGGCTCCAGTGGTAGAGCACCAGCCTTGAACACAAAAAAAGCCTGGCTGGAGGGGGAGGTCCTGAGTTCAAGTCCCTGTGCCGGCACACTCACACACACACTCACACACACATAGAGTTGCATCCTTTGGTGTGTATATATAAGCAGTTGGTTGTGCAAAGTGGAAAGGGTGTTGGGGACATGGCCGAGGGGCTTCGTTCTACTTCTGCATCTTGCACAGGCTTCCTGGTTCACTCTTTAGCCCAGGCAGAGCAGAGCTGTCGATGCGGGGGTGACACACAGTCACGAGGGACAGCCTTTGCCCCCAGACAGGTGTGGTGCCCCACAGAGTGGGGCCTTGGCTGTGAGCATGGGGGCAGGAACTCCAAAGGCTAGCAGTGCCCCACCCCCCGAGTCTGGCTGGGCAGGTCTGGAGGAACGGGGACTCAGGGGAGGAATGGGGACTCAGGGGACCTCCGGGCTGGCTGTGCAGTGCCGCTAGCTGTGGCTGCGGCAGATATGGCCTTTGTCAGGGCCTCTGTGTCTCTCCTAGAGCAAGCACTGGTGGAGGCCAGGAAATGCCCAGGAGCTTGGCCTCCAGGGGGACACAGGTCCCCTGAATTCCCATGGTGCATGACCCATGCATGCTCCAGGGGTAGATGGTGAGAGAGGCAACCCACTTACCCACCGAAATCCGGCTTGTCTGGGCTTTTCTCGGGGGAGTTCCGGCACATGCCCTCCCCCACTCTTGGTGGATACAGCCATTGGGACATTCGTGTAGGTGGGAATCACGCAAGCTCACGCTGCGTGCCCTTCCGTGTCATGGTTTATCCATTACACAGCATGGATCAGAGGCTCGCTCCTTTTCAGGGCTGAATAATGTTCCATGGCCTGTCTTGTCTCTGAGTTTCCGCCATGTTCTGTCTTCATTCAATCCCTTGAATGTCCATCCAGGTGCCAGGCCTCCTCCCCCAGGGGAGCTAGGCCTTTCCACAACCAACACTCAGAGAGAAGGAAGGCCGCTGTGGCTTCTTTCCTCAGGTTCTGCCCACCTCTTTACCATGGAGGAGAAAGTCTCCTGGAGGCCTGTGCCTGAGGCTTACAGGCTGCGATCACGCACAGTGGACCCGAGTTGTGTGAACAGAGACTGGAGTCCGCCCTGGTAGCTGGCGGGGCTCCCGGGGTCCGGGACAGGAGGGGCCCTGGAACAATAGAGCATGTGGCCCCCCTCCCTCCCCAAAGCCGCAGAAACCTGTTTGGGGAGGTTGGTGTGGCCGTGAATCAGGCCTCTGGAACGTCTCCCTCCCTCTCCCTGCACAAATACCCCTGGGCCCAGCTCCTGCTGTGCCCCAAAGAGCCAGAGCTGGGGACTGAGGCTGGGAGCAGAGCCATGGGGGTGGTGGAGGAGGGCGGAGCTCAGCAGGTTGCCAGCTTCCAACCCTGGGCAGGGCGGGCCTCACTGCTCAGTGCTCTGGGGCTGGGGAAACCAAGTCCTGACTTGGCTTTTGTCTGTGTGTAGCCGGGGCTCTCCCATTAACCACCACAAAGCTGTGCATAGAGTCTGTGGCTCAACTAGTAGAGTGCCAACCATGATCATAAAAGCTAAGGGACAGCATCTAGGCCCCAAGTTTAAACCCCAGCATTGGCACAAAAAACAAAACAAAACAAAAAATAAGGCCTAATGGTCCGTGCCCTGTGCCCTGTGGTTCTCCATCCTACCCACAGGACATCATCAGAGCCACCTGCAGACACGGGTGTGTTCCTCATATGTACACAGGCATACACACGCGCACACACACGCAGCAGTTATTCTCAGGGACCTAAGAGGACCTAAACTCTTGTTGGTGTTCTAGCAGGGGTGGGGAGGGGTGGGAAGGTGGTCCTGAGCATTAGAGGGCGCTGTTGAGCATTGGTCCCAGGCGCTGGTGGCTCACGTCTGGAATCCTACAGACCCAGGAGCCTGAGATCTGAGGATGTCAGTTCAAAGCCACTCTGAGCAGGAAAGTCCATGAGACTCTTGCCACCCATTAACCACCAAAAACCCAAAGTAGAGCTGTGGCTCAAGTAGTAGAACACCAACCTTGAATGAAAATCCAAGGGACAGCGCCCAGGCCTTGAGTTGAAGCTCCAGTACTGATGTGTGTGCACATACACATACAATATTCTTGCAATATTTTTTGTTCATGGCAAAGAATGTTTCTTGTCCTCCAAGGTTTCTTGACGCCAGCTCCTCCCTCTCTGCCTCCCTTCCTTCCTTTTTCTGTGCCCGTGCTAGAACTTGAACATAGGGTCCCTGAGCTTTTCACTCAGGGCTGGTGCTCTACCACTTGAATCACTTCTGTAGCACTCGAGCTCCGTTTCTGGATTTTTGCTGTTAATTGGACGTAAGAGTTTTGGATTTGGCTGCTCAGACTGGCTCAGGCTGGGATCCTCAGATCTCGGCCATCCCCTGAACAGCTGGGATTACAGGCGTGAGCCACCAGTGCCAGGCATCTTTCTGTTTCTCCGTGGAGACTTGCTGTTGCGTCCGAGGGGCTCGGGACCCACAGTGCTCATGGGATATATTTTTCTGAGCAGTCTAGTAAGGGGGGCTGGGCATCAGAGTACCTGCGAACCCCTCAGGAAACACGCACACTCGAGCCGCTTGACCCTCCTTCCCCTTCTCCAGATGGGTACGAGTTCCTGGAGATCCTCAAACAGGTGGCCCGGGACAATACGGACAACCCCGCCTTGAGCGTCCTCTGGATTGACCCGGACGACTTCCCATTGGTGAGTGGCTCGGACCAGGGACCTGTGGTCACTGCCCTGGGCTGGATGGGCAGGAGGCCCCGAGCACTTCGGACAAGGGGAGTGGGGTAGGAGGGGAAGGCATGCCCAGAGAGCCGGTGCCACCCTGCATCCTGGGAGACGCTGGCCCTGGCTGCTCCGTGTGTATTCTTGTCAAAGAGAGGGCCACAAGTGTTATTGTCAAATTCTTTTTCTCCCCTGGGCCTGGGGCTTGAGCACTGTCCCTGAGCTTCTTTTGCTCAAAACTAGCACTCTACCACTTGAGCCACAGTGCCACTTCTGTTTTTTCATTTTTGTTTTTCTGGTGGTTTATTGGAGATAAGAGTTTCATGGAGGGGCTGGGAAAGTGGCTCAGTGGTAGAGCGCTTGCCTTGCATGCCTGAGGCCTGGGTTCGATTCCTCTGCACCACATAAGCAAAAAGCCAGAAGTGGCATTGTGGCTCAAGAGGTAGAGCGCTAGCCTTGAGCTGAAGAGCTGAGGGACAGTGCCCAGGCCCAGAGTTCAGGCCCCACGACTGGACCAAAAAAAAAAAAAAAAAAGAGTTTCATAGACTTTCCTGCCCCGGCTGGCTTTGAACTGTGATCCTCAGATCTCAGCCTCCTGAGTAGCTAGGATGACAGGCGTGAGCCACCGGCACCTGGCATGTTCCTGTCTTTTTTATATGTGCCTGTACCGGTGCTGGGGCTTGAACTCCTTTGTTTGCTCTCTCCTTTAACTTTTCCATGCAAGACTGATGCTCTACCACGTGAGCCATATCTTTGCGGCTGTAGTTTTGCTCACTACCTTTCCTGGGCTGGGCTGGTTTTAAACGGCGATCCTCAGGTCTCGGCGTCCTGAGTAGCTAGGGTTACAGGCGCCAGCTTATGTTTCCTTTTTGCAAGAAGGAACGGAGTTTGTACCCCATGAGCTGGAGGGCGGGGATAGCACCCTCTGCTGGACGTGGCCTTAGCTGTCTGCCCTGGGCATCTATCCTGTTCAGCCCTCTCTCGGCAGGCCATGGTGGGCATGGATTCTGGGTTCTCCCTCACTTGTGAGGAATGACAGCTGGGGGAGGAGGGCCAGGGTGTGTGGGGGGGAGGGGTGCCACATTCCTGCCCAGGTGCATAGCGGCTGAGAGGTGTCCTTAGAACTGGAGGGTGGGGCCAAGCCTTCAGTCCTTTCCGAGCCTCAGCCTGGGTGGATGCAGACCTCACTGGCACCAGGGCTGTGGCCGGTGGCCGTGGACCGCATGTGGCCGGGTCAGGCCTGCGTGGTGTGTGGCCCTCTAACCCCACGCTCTGTTGCTGCAGCTCACTGCATACTGGGAGAAGACCTTCAAGATCGACCTGTCCAAGCCGCAGATCGGCGTGGTGAACGTGACGGACGTGAGTGCCCTGCGTGGGCCACACCCTGCCCTCCCTAACACAGGCACACACACACACATGCACACACACGCATGCACAGAGCCCGGCATCCAGGCCTGGAGGGCTCTCCCGGCAGTCCCAGCTCTGTACCAGCCACGGGAAGGTGGTGAGGCCCATGGAGGACATAGTTCTCAGGCCTCATTCAGATGTCCCAGGCAACCTCACAGTCCAGTGGGCTCAGCGGGCGGCAGCACAGCCACACGCCATGGTGGTGCAGGAGCAGTCTCCTGGGAACAGGAGCCAGTCCGTCTTTGGCCCTGTGTTAAGCTATGTGATGCTGTGTGAAGCATTCATTCATTTGCTTTGAGAATTAGTAGGAATGATTGTTTATGTGCTGGTACTGGAACTTGAACTCAGGGCCTGGGAGCCATTCCTTAGCTTTTCCATTCAAGGCTGTCTCTCTACCACTTGAACCACTTGGAAGCTCCACTTCCAGCTTTTTTACAGTGAATTGGAGCCAAGGCTCCCACAGATTCATCTGCCTGTGCTGGCTTCGAACTGCAATCCCTCAGTCTCAGCCTCCCAAGTAGCTAGGATTACAGGTGTGAACCCCTGATGCCCAGCTGTGCTGGTTATTTTGGAGATGGAATCTCCAGGAATTTCCTTCCCCAGGCTGGCTCCAAGTCTTGATTCTCTAGATCTCAGCACCCTGAGTAGCTGGGATTATAGGCAAAAGCCACTGGGTCCTGGCTACAACAGCTGCAGAAGACCCGGCAGCCTGCTCAGCGCCGCTGCCCGGAGCCCAGGGTGGGGCGCAGCCTCTGAGCACTCGCTCCTCCCCTGTTCACTCCCCCATTCATTCATTACCCATTCATTCACTTATTCACCCACCACCCTGCCTCCCCTGGCTGCAGGCCGACAGCGTGTGGATGGAGATTCCGGACGACGATGACCTACCCACCGCCGAGGAGCTAGAAGACTGGATCGAGGATGTGCTTTCTGGAAAGATCAACACCGAGGATGATGATGACGAAGAGGACGACGAGGACGATGAAGATGATGACAACGATGATGATGATGATAATGATGATAACGATGATTCTGATGATGAGGATAACAGTGACAGCGATGAGGATGACGATGATGAGTAGCTGAGAGCCAAAGGACCTGATCAGAACACAACCACAGCCCCCGCCCCGCCCAGCAGTTCCTCTCCTTTTCTGCACCCTTCCTGGTCCCTTCCCATCAGGAGAACTCCTTTCTAAATGCAGGAACCCAGGCTGCTTGTCCCTGCCGACCTGCGGCTGTTCCTGCTCTGTGAAGCTGGGTGGAGCCAGATCGGCTCTCCTCACGATCACCTGTTGTCTCTCCCCAGCACGTGACTCAGGAGCAGGGAGTGACTTTGTAAGAAGAGCTGGGACAGGAGGCTCAGTCCCAAGCCTTTGCATGGCTGTGGAGAGGTCTGGGCGCAGCAGGACGGGGACGGGAGGTTGGTCTGCTGGCTGACAAGTCTCCTCGCTGGCTGACAAGTCTCTTGTGTCCCCCACCCTGATAGCGGGCCCCTAGGGACTCAGCTGACCTCCGAAGAGCCATTCTCCATGGCTACTTGTGAGCCGTCCCGTTTCGGGCTAAAGGTTGCTTTACCCTGGGTCGGCTAGCTCTCATTTAGCAAGGCCCACAGCATCCAGAGCCGGCTGGGGCTCTGTTCCCAACCAGGTGCTGAGACGCCGAGGAACTCCCCAAGTGCCTTCTGCTGCCTAATAGCTTGTGTTAAGTATCATCATTGATTTTCTCCATTGGTTAACACGTATGAGATACTGCGGTTTCTTGATGTGTGGTTTATTTTCAGGGGGTGGAAAAGCTGCTCGCCAACTCTGTCATTAAACTCATTTTGTAACGTGTTGAGACCACCTTGGAGCCTGCAGTGGTTTTTCCACTCGACCCACTCCCTGCCCCCCCTCTTCATAGAGACCGGGTTTGGCTGCATGAGATACTACCTGGCCCGTTGCTTAGTGACCTGGAGTGCCGGGTCCCCTCTCTGCTTCAGTGGCATTCTGTGTGCAGTCTGGGTACTTGTCAATCAAATGACAACACGTGTACGCATTCAGAGCAGCTTTGTCAGAGACCGGAGTCAACTTGTCTTTGTGTCTCCAGCTCTTCTGACTTTGCCCATCACACAGTAGAGGCTCATTATGGAGCTGGTTCATTATGGAGCTGGTTCATTATGGAGCTAGCTCATGCACACTGGACCAGAGCAGCCATCACCCCTGGCACTCCCAATAGCAGCGGGTGCGGTGTCCTGGCTGCCGTGCGTTTGTCACCTCTGTGACAAAACACTTGAGTAAACACCACCAGGGAGGAAGTGTGGCGGCTTGTGTTCCCCCAGCTTCCAGCCCCGGCTCCTTGGCTTTGGGCTTGTGCTAAGGGGACCCGGGGGCGAGTGGCTGAGGGGGCTGCTCTCCTCTTGGGGGAGGGAGTGGGGAGAGGAGGGAGAGGGAGAGAGATGGAGAGGAGGAACAGGAGGAGAAGGAGGAAGAAGAGAGAGGAGTAGGAGAAACAGGGTCCCCACGAGTTCTTCCAGGGCACCCTCTGATGACCTCTTCCAGCCCTACCCCCACAGCCATAGCTGAGCGAGGCTCGGGGAGCCAGGCCTTGGTGACAAGACAGCTCTTGGGCCCCTGCTCTCAGCACCATGGCGCTGGGGATCAGGTCGTTGGGTGACACTTCCTAGCCAAGCCGTCTCTGGCTGCCGTAACAGAATACCATAGACTGGGTGGCTGGAAGCAACAGCAAGTTGTTTTCTTGCAGCTCTGGAGGCTAGAAGTCAGAGAGGCCACCGTTTACCAGCTGGGTCGGCTCCTGATGAGGCGCTCCTGTCTCATTTTGTTCAGATGTGGCCTTTTCTTAATGAGGAGAAAGGGAAAGAGAAAGAGGAAGAGGAAGAGATGGCAGGTGGTGGAAGAGGAGGTGGAGGAGGGAGAGAGGAAGAGAAAGAGCTAAAGAGATAGAGATACAGAGACACAAGGGAAGGGAGGACTAAAAGCACTGTGGTTTCCTCTAATGAAGACACCTGTCCTGTCAGGTGAGACTACACCCGTGACCTCATCTAACTTTAATTAGTGCCTGCAAGGTTCAGGGCACAGCACAGAGCCTCTGTGTTTATTTCCTCCTTCCCCAACCAGAGGCTGGGTTGCACCCCACACCGGCCAGTCACACATAGAGTAGGTTCTTGGGGAACAGGATTTCCCACACAGTCTCTGCTCCTGTTCTAGAGTGTGATCCTTCAGGACAGAGGTCTGTTCCACAGCCTGGGACAAATCTTTGTTGAATGCCTGTGTCAGGCCGGTTCTAGCCCTGTAAGCTGGTGTTTAGCCAACATTTGACCACGACATTGTACACAGTGGTTTACATATGCGATCATAGTCTATCCTGCTCAGTTGATGGATCATGCACTTTGGAGGAGGGTCAACGTAACCGCATTTTGTGTGTGTATGTGGACTGAGGCTTGCATTCAGGCCTCACATTCTCCCTTAGCTTTTTTTGTTCAAGTCTGGTGCTCTACCATTTGAATCACAGCTCCATTTCTGGCTTTTTGCTGGTTGGTTGGGAGTCTCAGAGGTTTTTCTACCTGAGCTGGCTTTGAACCAGGATCCTCAGATCTCAGACTCCAGAGCAGCTGGGAAACAGATGTGAGCCACTGGTGTCCGGCTTACATTTCTTAAAACTTTTAATTCGTAATAAGAACCTTCACTGCGGGACCCAAGCCAGGCAGAAGAACTGGGATAAAGAACATTATTTTTTTTAAGTCCTATTTTACATCTGTTATGCCAGAAGCCAGTCCTGATTAGCTGGGATTATAGATGTGAGCCACTGGCACCCAGCTTGATCTTCCTTTTTTCTTAGATGTAAAATGGAAATAATCTTTACCTAACAAAGAATGTGTCGATTACAAGGCTATGTAGAATGTAGAATATATAATACCCAATAAAATGTTAGCACCCTTCCACTTCTGTTCCCAAAATAGTGTTTTGTCAAAATGTCCAAAATCAAATTTTCTTCGCATCTCAAGTGGTTTGGTTGGACCTGTCTTAACTCACCACTGCACAGACTACCATTCAAGCACCACACTATGGCCTTAAAAAAATCCATACTTTATTTATAATGGGATATGACAAGGTTACATTGTAGTAAATTCACAGTAGTGATTTGTTTTTGTAAGTAACAAAATCTGGAAAAAAAGAACAAACACTACCCAGAAATACTTAACGTTTGCTTTGGAATAGCAGGGCCAGTGCTATAGGCCTTTTAAAATAAATATGTAACATTTCTGTGCTCCTTTAAGTAACCAATCTTTTTTTTTTCTTAGTAAACTGCATTTTAAAAAATTTACAATAAGGCTTACAGGGTGGTGAAGTTTTGGGTGGTAATTCTCTGTCCTTCCTTTGTCTCTGTTTTGCTGGTTTTAGGTTATAAGGTCCTACAGCAAGAAAGAATCGATGGCTGCAGCAGCAGGAAGAGTCCCTCCAGTGGAGGCGATGGTGCTAGAGCCCTTACCCATGGGGAGGAATAATACAGAGGAGGGAAAGAGGTGGTTTTAGACTAGCCTTTCAAAGGCTGGACACCATTAGGAAAGCCGCCCACCACTCAGCCACGTGCGCACTCACTCACAAGGGCCAGCTGAGGCTTTCCACCATCAGCCCAGCTAGCGTGGTGTCCCTGTCTACCTGGGCACAGGCGCACCTCACACGGTCCACACACACCCATGTGGTACCAAGCACCTCCTCCACAGCGCCAGCCAGTGGCAGGGAAGGGCACAGCAGGACTCCAGAGCTCTAGCTACCCTTGGTGTCCCCTCCTCCTCCCTCTTCCCCAGTGCTAGGGCTGGGCTTCTGTGTGCACGGAGGCAGACAGAATTAACCACCCCATGGACAGATACAGAGGGGCCCCGTGGGCTGCCTCTAGACCAGTCTCCCCATTAAAAAAAAGCCTCAGGGCACCGGGATCCAAGTGCAAAGCCAGCCAGCAGGTAAGTCCACGAGACTCTTCTCTCCAGTTAACCAACAAAAAGCCAAGTGGAGCCATCCATGGCTCAAGTGGTAGAACTCCAGGGCTCAGGGCCCAGGCTCTGAGTTCAAGCCTTAGTACAGGCAGAGAGAGAGAGAGAGGAGAGAGGGAGAGAGGGAGAGAGGGAGAGAAGGAGAGAGGGAGAGAGAGACCTTAAGCTCTTGACCAAAGCACACACACAGGGCCACCTAATGCTCTTAATTAATTTCAAAGGGACATAAAGGAAGAAAGGGAGCCCGGAGCTGGGAGTGGGGAGAGGAGGGTGGGGTCAGGCATGTTCTCCAGGCCCGGCCTAGAGATCTACTTTCCACTTTGAAGCTCTGGATGGATGAAACGCAGAACCTTAAAACTGCTCCTCACTCTCCAGAAAGGCAGGCTTTAACATTCAGTTCATGGACTATTAGAACATTTTTATATATATCTATATATTTTAAAGCATACACTCTGCACAAAATTTATCTACTTGTTCAAACGCTGTCGCGCTCCTCAGTGAGTTCCTTGCTCTCATTTAAGGTTAGAATTTTTATAACTTAGGTTGAAAGCTAGAGAAAACTCTATAAAGATTTTGGGTAAATGAAATCCCAGCTCCTCTAAAGGAATTTACATCCAATGAGCCTTTAGGGCACAAGCTCCTGGGTCCAAGAACGGAACCAGGAATTATTCTGTGTTCAAGTGTGAGCACAGTCTATGAGGCCTGAAAATCTGTCCTCCCTGCCTGCCCCCCCGCCCTGCCCCGTGCCCTGTAACTCCAACCTATTAAGGGTTCAAAGTGCAAAGGTTTTGCAAGGATCCTGCATTGCATCTGGGAACTCACTGTAAAATTAGTGTTAAAAAAATCAATATTCAAAACAATGATCTTAGGAAATGACATTCTGCTATGCAAAGCTGGGGGTGGGCAGAGAAAGACAGAGGGAGGAGGGAGAGACAGGTACTGAGAGAAATGGAGAGGGAGGGAAGGAAGGAGAGGAAATGAGATTTATTTGCCAGAGTGAGTGAGCCCCACCCCAGCTCTGTGGGGTCCCCGGGCTTCACGACGATGGAGCCAGTCATCATCGCCCGTGATACCTCCAGGTTCATGGAGCCACAGCAGCTCCCCTGGGACTCCGTCCCCCTGTGACCTAAATCTCACACATACTCACCCCAAATCCCCTGCCCTCTCTTAAAATATTTCCTGAGAAAGACATCAAAAGGAACTTCCAGTGTGAAGGGACTGGAGGCTACACTGTGAATGAAAGCACCATGGCTGGGGGGTGGGTGAGTGGGGGGGGGGATGGGGGTCTGTTTTTATACAAACAGAACCAGAAAACCTCCGCCCTAGCCCCCCCC